GGCCGAGACAGCACTAATGTGGCGATGATTAAGGAGTTTGTTAACGGCCACTACTCCGGCTAAACATTGCCAGATAAAATGCCTTAATTTATTCGCGACCTGATATTAGATATTACATCACCAACAAGATGGTTGATGCATTAGTACTTCTCCAAATTACATAAAAACGTTTTTTTTCTCACGAGTCAATAATCATGACCGTTTAATTTTGATATTAATTAGCGCGTACTACTATGAATAAATCAGAACAAGAACAAATAATGCAGAGAACAGGCGAATAATCATAATTCGTTGTTTAGAACTAAAATAGGTAGACAAACCAGAAACATTATAAACAACAGACATAAAATGAACATTAAGAATTTAAAAATCATAAACGACGATATAACACATAGAGAGACTGGAACTGTTTCTGACTCATCAGTTTGCAGCATAAATCACCATGGGGCTTCTCACAGAATGAACACCATCAGACCATATCAGATGTGCAGACATAAGTTTATCAGCTTCCGGACCATTGCCTGAAACAGTCACGGTGAAAGACTTCTTCTCGTATACCGACTTGAAAAACAAGACGCTGGGAACAACCTTGACTTTGAGATTATCTCCGACTACCTTTGCTTTGTAGGTAGTGTTTGGCATACCAACGTTTGTGACTGTCCTACGGAAAGTCACTTTGAATGGTTTTGTCGCCGAGACTTGAGCAGTCATGGAAGGATAGTTTAGGTTTCGGGGTAGCGATTTAGTTTGTTCCTTAGTGCAACTGCTGCTATCACCAGAGATGAGTCTAAAGTTCTTTCCAGTGTAGTTTAAGCCGCAGAGAAAGGCAATGTGGTCGTGTTTATTAGCTTCATAGACAAGTCCAGGATGAATAGCGGTTATCGGATCGACATGGCCTGCTCCATAAGCAAACTCTGCCATCTCGTTGAACGGAGAAGTAGATGCATTCATTGACCAAGCTGCAAGAGACCGCAACAAAACAGAGTATTATATAAGTTTCTTGCAATACAAGAAAGTTATGTTTGCAAGAAAAAAGAGCAAAGTAGTATACAAGCAGAGTGGATCTTAATTTGCTTACCGGTAGTCATAATGGCGGATTTGATCATGGAAGGAGACCAGCGAGGGTGAAACGTTTTTATGTAGGCGGCTACACCAGCAATGTGCGGACAAGCCATTGAGGTTCCCGTAGCAACAGAGTACTTTACATGTCTTGTGTCTGATTGACTCGGGGGAGCATCAGGAGAATAAGCAGCCAGGATCTCTGATCCCGGCGCTGTAATATCCGGCTGCGATTCATATTCAATATTCAATTAGACAAAGAAATGTTAGAAAGATCGAGACGAGTCATTTAGATATCCTCCGTTTCTCTATATACCTTCAAAATATCAGGAATGATTGCGTTTGGACCACGAGAAGAGTAGGTAGCAGTGACGGGAGCTGTCTGCTTAAAGATCGTGTCACTTTTCAGAACAGTCGCTTTGGGGTTTCTGGTCAAAAAAGAAGAAAAAAAATCAAGCTTTGAGATGGAGAATCGTAAGAGATATAATGAAACAGAGAACACGTGCATTACTTTGTGGAGTTCATATATGAGAGGACAGTGTTATAGTCGTCTTCTGATAGAGCAGAGACTGGGAAAGAGAAGACAGAGGCGAAGTCTACTCTGCTGCTCTTAGTGATGGATGCGACGGCTCCCATAGATTGAGCTTCATCGGTGTTTAGCTCGAAATCGCATAACACAATCTTTCCTTTCACAAGTTTACTGTCTAGACACCCTGGTGAGCAGAACCTGAAATCGCAATTAAAATTAGGAAAATTGCTGTGTGAAAAGCAAAAAGAAATGAAGATAAATGTTTCTTGGGATAGAAGTTACCCGGCGGAAGCAGCACCGCAACTAGTTGAAGCTGATCTTCCGTACACCAGAGGGTACTTTGTTCCGTTAAGATCAAACGTATTTACTGATCTTCCCTGTTTCACAACAACGGTTAATGTTAAAAAAGGACAAGATATGTACGATGATGATTTGTTTTAAAGGAACAAAAATGCGTTTCTTGGTACTCACGACAACTGTCTTGCCGTCTCCAAGAACAACTTTGGTGACGAACGCACGGTTCGTATTACTAGCAGCAACTGTCAAGATCCACGGCGCAACACTTGTGACCGTGCTTCGTTCTGGTCCACTGTTTCCAGCGGAATTCACTGTAAGGATACCCTTAGCCATGGCATGGAAAGCCCCGATCGCGGTTGGGTCCACCTCGAACGGCGAACTAGAATCTCCACCGATGGAGATTGTGATGATGTCCACGCCATCCGCTATCGCATCATCGTATGCAGATAGCATTCCGTCACCGGTGCACCCAAAGATACCCGGTTCACATACTTTGTAAACCGCTATTCTTGCGGCTGGAACGCCACCTCTCACGGTTCCGTTGCCGAGTCCGTAAAAGCTAACGTCCTTCACAGTGTTTCCAGCCGCAGTGGACGCTGTGTGCGATCCATGTCCCATGTTGTCCCTCGCTGAATGAGGAAGCCCCTCCAATTTTGGTGTGTAGTACCTTACTCCAATAAGTTTGCTGTACAGAATAATCAGATCATTCACATTAACCTACAAAACTGACAAATCTTTACGCAATTTAATTGTAATTTGAGTTGTTTTATACTTGTTGCAAGAGAAGTTTTTGCCGCCTTCGCAAACACCTTTCCATTTCTTAGGAGGAGGACCAAAGCCTTTGCCATTGAAGCTGTCCGATTCAGGGTAGATTCCACTATCGATGACTCCGATGATCGTATTGCTCTCGATGCTAGGTTTCCGTTTCGTCTTTTTACCTTCCTTAAGGCCCATGAAATCCCAAGACCTCGTTGTTTGGAGCATCAGTTTCTTGCTTGGAAACACAGACACAACTTCTTCCATACCTACGAAAATGAATACAGAAGGACCGTTATATTTTCACAAAGTAATTAAAACCTTAAAATAACTATAAGCATATAAATAGAAGAACAGTAAATTGTGATAAACCAAAAGAAGGAGAGAAGGATAGTAATTTGAATGTGAATAAATACTTTTGAAACTTTCCTGAATGAATTTAATAGGGCACTTACTTGCTAGTATCTCTCTTTCGGATTCGGTTAATCGAGCCGCGAAACCGTTGAAACTCCTTTTATAACTCCTAACCAATCGATTCTCGATCGAACTATACAGAAGAAATACGTTATTTGTAGATCTTTATCGGTGTATGACTGCGATCGATTGGAATGAAACTATATACAAATATTCAAATCATCTATAAAAACTTGATTTATCAGTTAAACTTCATTATAACGTTATAATTGTAGTAATTAATATTATACCTCTCTCCGGTGACCTGTTGAAGAATACTCGTGTGATGGGACATTGGCATGTAGTCAACACGAGCAGGAAGTGCACCCATGTATACTATATACACCTACAAAAGATTT